TCATGTTGTATCTCAGAGACGTTACACGAATCTCGAGCCAATACAGCGTCAAACCAAGGCACTGGTTTGGCTTTTTACACTCCGAAGCTGCTTTGAGTGCTGGTGTCTTACCTGCTTGGCTTTGGGGCGAGGTTACTGGAACTTATTCTGCACAGCCAGTATCTGACTGTGTGCCATTGTGGTTGGCACCGCTTTAAAGCCGAATGATTCAGCAGAAATGATATGGATTCAGCTATACAATATAGTTCTTAGAACAGCAAAACTCTCCAAGACAGTCGACTGTCGACATCTTTGGCTGTTGAGATCATGCCTTGCGCAAAGCTTCATCCGCAGCATCCATTCGCCCTTTTGCATCTTTCATCTCCAGCAAGGATTGATTCAGTTGCGCCTGAGTTGTAAGTGTGACAGCTGGGTCATTGAACAAAACGTGCAAAGATCCCAAGACCTGGGAAAATACTGAGGGAACTCGTCCATTAGGACTTGCAAAGACTGAAACTTTGCTGACTTCTGAACAATGACTGCTGAAGTAAATCTCATCCGGAAGCACCAAAACCAAACTAGTACTAAGGAGGCTCAATCTAAATGGATAAACAATGCCAGACTTCAATTTTAGCCGTGTAGCATGGCGGTAGCACAATTATCTCGCAAAATACTCTTCCGGTTGTATGATTTTCTGACAGCCGGTACTTTGGGTACCTTGGGTGCTGACACTCGTGGTGTTGACTTCCATTTGTTCATGTAACACATCTCAAATAGACTCAGCCTGCCTCAAGTTGTTTCTTTTTTCGTTCGGATCGCGAGCGGATCCGAGACACCTAGCGCGGTGCAGCAAATCATGGGTAACTTTTGACCAACGGGAAGCCTAATCCCCCGCTGCATCTGACGATATCCAAGATTTAGATCACTTAATACATTTCTTTAGGTGAGGTAAAGTCAACATATCAACATATAAGAAGATACATATTAAATATTTAAATTATTTGCTCACTCCAATGTAGCAATGTAGCGCTTCACTCCAACATTTGAATTGCAGTTGCCCACCTCGCCCTGCAGCTTGGTGAGCATCGGTTGACGCGACTGTAGGGCTTGTCGTGCACCCTGAACGTCCCGAGCACTCTTGGCCCGCGTCTCCATGTTGTTCAGGTGACGGGTTTTCAGCTCCTAACGTGAGGCCAATGCCTTTGGCGTTCAAAAGAAAGAACCGCTGTGCATAAGAATAAAATATAGTACTGTAAAATTATCGACTAACAAGATTGTAAGCCATCCGTCCGTTTGCTCTTTAAACAATATATAATATAATATAAACAATGCAACGAACACAACATCATCACATCACATTGTGATGGGTTTGATCCATAGACAGGGCCTGGCCTCGAGCCGCATGCAAAGTTCCTCACGCTTTTGGGCGGTCTCCTGACTGGAAGGTTGGTTAAGACTAAGCCTCAAATAGATGCTGCCAAAGGCAAACTAGAAAAAAACATCGAGTTGATGCGAGTTGCCTATATAATTGAACCCCGCCAGGCTTAATTGTATATGGGGATTTGCACTAAGGTTTGGCATTTACAATTTAGTGTTGGAGTTTGCAATTAAACGCGGTTAGAGTTGCAGTTAGGCAGGAATCGCCCTGCTTTTTTCCTCTCAACCTTGTCTATGGCCCTGTTGGATGTTGACAAATACTTTTCTTAAAGTGACCGACGTACCTCGATCTGCTTTGTGCGTCATTCAAGGTTGCTCTTCTCTTTAAGCAAAACACGCACTTGTTTGGAAAATAAACCATGCCAAAGGAAACCAGTACCCGCGGACATCCACAGACAAGCCAAAATCGTATTCTCGAAGTGATCCACTATGTCCAGCATTTGTAAGCTGCATGTAGACAATGTAG